AGAAAGGGCAATCATTCATATACTACATTTATGATACCGTCTAACCATTGTAACCCAACCACCTATCCTACATTCCCATCTACACAACCCAAACCTCCTGAGCTACCGCTGCCCCGAATTCTCCTGGCACAGCAACACCACAAAAGACGCCGCAGACGACCGCTATGCTTGCAGCAGAAACTTAGCTATGCGGTATTTCCAGCTGTACTTAATACTCAGCACAGGTTTGATAGATATCTCTTGCACTGGTACATCCTGGGAAGAGCCTTTCCCAGATACGGATATCAAATTCACAGCACCGCAGGCAAAGCCATTTTTTATCAGGTTTTACATCAAACCCAGAACATGTCAAAACAAGGCAGAGTAATTCCATATAGAAGCCCAGCTAAAATGGAAGCACCTCAAAATGCCATAATAATATCTTTATAAGCAATAAACCCAGCTCTGACAAACAAATCCGATTAGCTCACTCATTCCACCTCCCTCCAACCTTTGAATTTTAATATGGATCTCCAAGTGAACTTTTTTTAATTAAAATTCCATTACATAAGAAGTGGAGAAAAAACAGAGATTGGACAAAATGAAAAAGGAAAAAAGAAGAAATAATCTTCAATAAAAAAGTAATTGAGAGATATATATACACACACACACACACCTTGAGTGTATACATATCTATTCAGTTAGATACAGGACAAGTATACTGGTGCATATATTCTGGTCTCAGCCAGAAAAACAAAGCCCCTCCAGAATTTCCATTTATCATATTTTAACATCATGACAAAATTTGTTGCAAATATACTAGTTCCCCAAGCTTTCTATTAAAATTAATTACAGTCCCAATCCTTGACATTCATATAGTTTCGATCAAGTTAATGATATAATCCAGGATTCTGGATCTTGGATACAAGGCACACTGCTAAAACGAGTCTTTTGCCCCCCTTAAAGAGATTCTCATGTCCCAGCTAAGGTATTTGTAACAGCTACTGTGTACCTGCAGGGAGTACTTTTTATTAAAAGATGATCTTTTCAAGGTGATATGCTAAAATGTATGCAGCGTGCCCAAAGCAAGGCGCTCTCATAATGACATTGCTGGGTTAGAACAGAAAATTAACGAACTAAGAATTACCTTAACTTTTCCTCCACCTGCAATAGAAGGCAAGTGGGAATAACACAGGATGTCAAATAGCAAAGCTCACGAGGAGCCAAGGGGCTTTGAGAACCCAGTGCAATGCAGAGATGAATATCCAGAACTGACTGGCTCAATTTGGATTTAAAGCTTCACTGTCCTAATGACTCCTTGATGAATAAGAAAATGTAATGCTTTTATAAAGGTGTACTTCAGGGCAAGAGAGTTTGGGTCCCAACTGCGATCCTCCGAAATTCAGACCCAATTTCATTCAGGCTATCCCTGTTTCTAAACGTCTTAGATTGGCAGCAAGGGGAAGAAAGAGGAGACACCACTTAAACCTCTGCTCTGGCACTGCAGGACTTGTCTGTGGGCACAGAAACAAGTGAATGAAACCGGTGAGCAGATCCATTTTTGATTCATTGCTATTTGGGAAAACGCTCTGGGAAACTCCTTATACTAACCACCTCAGAGTAACTGGGAAGGTAACTCATACCACTCTGGACATCTGTACGCAGAAGAGTAATCAACACTGAGAACAGCGTTTCAGTTCTACCAATTTACCAGTGGTGCTGGCAAGCAGAGAGACTGCCTGCCTCAGCGTGATTCAGCTCGGAGCAGGCCCGATTCCCCCAAGACAGGCTGCGCAACAGCAGCATAGGGGGAGCCGAAAAGGACCTGGCAAGGTAGCCGTGACTATATGCAAACAAGATATTCCAGGGCACGTGATGATTCCCCACGGCCAGGACCGAGATATCCAGCAGAAATGAGTTATCCTGGGTGCCAAGGAATCCTTTTTTAGTCACAACTTCTTGCATCCGTTCAGAGAGCTGCACCCTCCTGACTTGCTCTCAGCACCCACCTCTTGCATCCCTGCCCTGGGCTCACCCCCGCCAGCGAGGCTCCCGAGAGCCTCACCCAGCCTTTGCCAGTCAAACGTTTTTGGTTCTTCACCCTCGTACACCGCAGAGCAACCTGTAAGTACTGGGAAAGCCTCCTCGTTACCACTTTAAACTGCTTTGCACCAATGCCTGAGAGTACCCTGACCCTGGTAGGAAGCTTCGGTGCCAAGTCCAATGCTCATTTTGCTGTCTGCTATTGTTGGCACCATGTTCCTTGTCCAGCCTGTGGCTTCTTCCTTGGCCTTTCAAAGTACAGCTGCTTGGAGCAGGGGTTATCTTTTTGCACAGACTGCTCAGTAGAACAGGCTCTGTGGTGCTGGGGGCCCCTGAACCCCTGCTACAAACACAAATAGACTACACCATGGTACCCTGCGTAGCTGCACACAAGGTGTGAGGCACGGGAGAGGGGAGAAAAGCATTTCACCACCACACTGCAGAAAGAGGTGGGGTACTACGATGGTCTGCAAAATTCCAAGCATTTTGTTGCCTGGTATCTTTCTGGGAAAACTGTAGCCAAGGCTGTGATTTCTGTGGAAGATTATTAATGTTTGTTCTGAATGCAAAGATGGTGCAGGGGAGGGTTGATAGGCTGCAGAACCAATTGCTTCAGGCAACGGTGCCTCCCTGCACCGTTAATTGTACCACTATAAACCTGATTAGATGCCATAAAAAATTGTGTGGTACAGTTCCGAATATATTGTGTCATATCTGCTCAAAATTGCAGATCACTGCTTGGGGCCATAAATTCATGAAATGCAAAAGAAGCAGCTATCTTGCTTTATGAGATGCCGTATCCCAAGCCCCGGCTTGGCACCCGGCAGTGCTGCTGCTCTCATTAGCAGCCTCAGAAGAAGGAGAAACACTGGCTGGGAAATGCACGGCCTTCTAACCCTGCTGGGGTTGCCTCGGGGAGCCAGGAGTGAAGAACATTGCTCTTTTCTGGCCTTCATCCATCAATCAGACCTTCAACCAGTAAGTATAATCACAGCTCTTGGAAATCCCCATCTCCTTCTCCCCACGTGGCTCTGCTGGAGCAGTAAGCACCACTGAATCCCAAGTGTGCAGCGCTCATCCCTGAAAACAGTGCCCGGCATTTCTAAAAAGCTTAAAAAGCAGAAATTTTGTCAAGTAGAACCATTCCAAGTTCCTCTCTGAGATATACCTGCCCTGTTGGCCACCACAAAGTTTGGATCTGTTCCTCTAACTGATGTCTGGGCACTTTGTAACACATCAGCCTACAGGAGATTCTGAGCACACCGGGTAACACCAGCTCATCGGTATTATCTAAAGCCCAAGCAATAAGCACAGGACAGACCTGCTTTTATTGCATTTTAGCTCCTGCTCTGGCTATGGCCCAAGTCCAGCCCATTAGCAAATTCCCATGGAAATGTCTGAAAGCAACCACACAGGTTCTTCGTGGGCTCACCATGGCACAACACAAGCGGAGAGCTACGAGGTCTGTCTCTACCAGGGCAGTACCGTGCTTTCTCAAGCTTTGTGCTGAGCCTGACAGGTCTGAGAAGCAGCCAGGCAAGTCAGATGAGGCTTACCAGAGAGGACTGCTTCTGCCTTTTGCATGCCCACACAGCTCTCCTCAAGACGCAGTTTTGACTGCATGTCCCTTCAGCAGCAGATCATAGTAGACAACTTCTCTGTAAGACACAGGCTGCATGATGCTTTCAGCACTGCAGGGGCTCAGATGGCTGTGGGATTATGAGGACCAGAAGATTCTTGGGTGCAAGACCTGGATTGTTAAGAAGTCATTGCATGACAAGCTACGAACGCTCTGCTTAACTCTCAAAGCCCTCAGGAACTTCTCCCTGATCCTCCGCTCCCTGCACTCACTGCTACAGAGCTGAAGTGATCCCTGGGAGCCTGGTTGTATTTGCAGGGGGAATCTGGCTCAGATCTTGCAACCCAAACCAGGGAATGTTTTTATTCCGTGTGCATGATATAGGTGCAAGTGAGTTGGCAAGAAGGACTCCCTGCACACAGGAATGGAGTTCCAATGGAAGGTCTTCCAAGGATAACATTGCCCTTGCCTCTGTGCAGCAGAAGCAGCAGTCAATTTTCAGATGCTATCTTGGGCACTTTTCCAAGGGACAGCAGAAACACCTAGTATCAGAATGACTGCCCTGCTTCAAGACATAGGAATGCTTACTGGAATGGCTGCCGAGATATTTGGGGCCAGAAAAGGCCTTTCTCTTTCACCCCATTCTTGGAAGGGACTGAACCAATTTAGTTGAAATTTTAAAAGCCCAGTTTGAAGCATGGAAAATTTCAGTTCTAACAGCATAAATTTGTCAAAGGCATACACAGCTGAAGCAGAGCAATATAACGGGAGATGTTAAGCAATCTTAACTGTAAGTGAACACTGCCAAAACCGCCTTGCGATACAAGATGCACCCTTCTGGGTCCTGTGTCTCTGTTCTCCTGCCTGGTAAAAAGAGCACTGTCTCCTGGCTCTCAGTTTCCTATGATCTGTCACTAATGGCAAAGCTCCATTAACCAAACTGGAAAGGACAGACTGAGAGAACACAACACAAACAAGAAGAAAAGTTCCTCCAGACATACTTTTGGCTTCCGGGGGCAGGGGCTGTCAGGGATTTTGTTGACCTACCTTGGCAAGTGTGGTTGTCTTCTGACAGAACAAGTCCTCTCGGACATTCGCATTGGTACGTGTCTTCCACTTCAATACAGGTATGGCTGCAGCCTCCATTGTTATTGTGACAGCCTTCGATTTCTGCAAAGGAAAGGAAAATCAGCATGCCCTGCTCCTCAGGCAGCCGCGTGGCAGCCACGCAGGCCCCAGCATATACTCCTGGCTGACTAATGAACAGTAGACCCAACACAGAGCTCAAAGGCAACAGCACAGTGAGAGCTTGCTTCCAAGAAAATGCAGAGGAAACCTATTTTTAATTGTACAATCTCCTGTGTTTGTCATTTCACCATGACGTTAACAAGGAAAAAAGCTTACAAAATTAAATCATGTACTAGAACTGGCATACATAAGAAGGCTGAATAGGCAATCTTCAGCTTGGCCTTCTCTAACTTCTGAGACATCATCTTTACGCTAAATTTTTATGTTGATTTTACTTCAAAAAGGTGGGAGGAAAATCCTCTTAAAACATCTACCATGTGGAAGTGTACTCACTCCCTTAGTCATCACCAAATTAAAGCCCTGAGATGTGCAGAGGAGGTGTCTTGGGGAGGACAGACTCACAGGTAGCCAGCTCCTATTCCCACCAGGGAACACCAAAGAGAAGATGATGCGCTCTTTGCCTGTGGGTTTCCCAGCTGTGGGGGAGGTGGCCGTACTGGATTCCTGCATCCCCTTCTTTGAAGGCTGAGGATGAAACTCTGTTGTAGGAATTTGTTTAGCAGGAATTTTGTTAGTTTGCAAGTTTTAGGCTTAGAGGTTGGCTACCCTGAGATGCGTTATCACAGGGACAGAACGACACAAGCTCACAGTGTAAGGGCAATTCCTCTCCTAATTTTCCCCCGTTGTAAAGTACAGAGGAGAGAGGGCATCTGTCATGTCTTTTCTTACATCTCTTCTGTTCAGGTGAGGCAATTCTCTGAGGATCTGAGTTTTCATGTAAAATGTATTCCTAGCCACTACAGCCGCAGAAAAGAGCCCAAAAGGTCACCCAAATACAATCTGAAGATTTGAAAATCTAAGGTAAGTAAGGCCATTTCCAGTTGTTGTTGGGTTTCTATTATAAAGAAAGTAACAGAGTATCACGATTGTTAAAAAAAAAACAACAAACAAAACCAACCATCACTGCTTAATTTTTTAACCCTTTGGGTTGAATGCCACTAGATGTTCTCAGTAAAACAATGATACATATAATATAAACAAAACATAAATAAAAAATATTTCTCCCTAAGCCAGACATCAGAAATAACAGTGTGGTTTTCACTGGAATGTAAAGAAAAGAATGGAAATCCCATACTCAACCTTACTCATTGCATGGAAAACAACAGCCTGAATGCTCCACGGGAGTCAAAGTAATGGGTAAAGCACTGTAAGGGAAATTTTGAGATGCTCTTAACCTTGCTCAGGCTCACCAGCTCATGTAAACAAGCTAAATCTCTTGCATTTGTTCTTTTTAGCAATAGCTATGAGGTGGCTCACAAGTAAATCACATACTCTAATGGCGCACAAAGCCGGGGGCACATCTTTAGAAATAAAACACACTAACAAGACTGTAAAATCCCCAGCAGCAGTGTTAAACTCATGAAAAGCACCATCCTTCTTACAGAAGGGGAAATTAAATGATATATCAAAGGCCCTAAAATCCAGCTTCAGGAACAGCAGAAACAAACAAGTTTCCAAGCACAGACTATTCTCTTCTCCCAGGTAACGGGCGATGGGACAAGGGGAAACAGCCTCAAGTTGTGCCAGGGCAGGGTTAGGTTGGACATTGGGAAAAATTTTTTCACCAAAAGGGCTGTTAAGCATTGGAACGGGCTGCCCAGGGAAGTGGTGGATTTCCCATCCCTGTAGGTATTCAAAAGACAGGTAGACGAGGTGCTTAGCAGCCCTGTCAGAAGAGTGCAGTGCTCAGGAATAAAAACTGCCATGTAGCAGAGCTGGTTTAAGTGACAACACACCAGCTCGATGCTGGGTATGGAAGGGACAAAGCCCATGGATCGCTTTTGGCCCCACGCAACTTAACAAGTACTTGAGGAGCACTCTGCACAGCAGCTTTCCCCAGGGAAGTGTCATTGTCTGGATGAGTGATGTTTTATTAACAGAGCTCTGAGAGGAGATTTTCACACAAGTCAGATGAAACGTGCTTTGGTATCACAGAGGGGGAAAACAGGGACAAAAACTGCAGCTTGGAGCCAATCTGTCAGCGAACCATAAAGAATGGTGGAGTCCAGCCCAAAAACACAATAGCAATCCCTCTCTCCCTGCACCACAGATGTCTACCACATAGCAGCTAAGGTAAGGTTGCACACAGGCTGCACATGTATTCAGTTCTGGCAATCACGTAGCTCAAAAGCGAGGCGCGTCTGTAGCTATTACTCTTGTCTGAGGCCCCACAGTACCTGTGAACATACAACACAGCAGCTTTGCCTGCGAGGGGCCACGGTGCTCTTCACAGCTGACCACAGAAAACATCAGGCACAAGTCAATTTTTGCTGCGTTTTCATATTTCTGCTCGAAGATGTTTGTATATTGTTAGTAACAACAGATCAAACCTGTAATTTCATATTTAAGCCCCTGCTAAGCTACCAGTTTAAACTCATCAAGGGTTTTCAACCTGGCTGTGCCACCGCTGGGAAGCAACTGTAGCAGCTGCACACAGCAGAGCCCACAACTAACTACTTAGAAAAAGCAAACAGTCAAAATGCAGCCCAAATCTCAAACCTAGCTTCTGTTTACAGACCGGCAGCCCCTCTCCTCAATCTCCATTCTGGGAGGCTAAGCGATGCTCATATTCTAGTCTAATGTCATGACATTGCCCCATACCTAACGCTAGCTGTGCTCAATCTGCCCCTGCACAGCTATCGTACAAATCTCCAGAGGCAAATCCCAGCATCTCCAGCAATAACTAGTTCTGTCTGGACAACCAATCTTCCAGATCCACTGCTGCCTCTCCCCCCACGGAGATAAATACAAGCAAATCCTAACAGAAATGAACATGTCAGGGAGAACAAGGAGCCTCCTCTCTGCTTGATTAGAAGGGTATTTCAGTAACAACCCCACTGGCAAGCACAGAAGTGATACGAGTGACATTTAATCCCAGCTGCAAGGAGCCAAGAGAGAACTAGTGCTGCAAGGGAAGGGGAATGATTTATATCCTTTCCAGCAGGCTGTGATAGCTGACACCTCACCTTCACAGGTTTTCCCGTCGGTTCCCAGCGTGCGCCCGATCCCGCACTCACAGCGGTAGGAGTTCTTCAGGTTAACACAAAACTCGCTGCAGCCTCCGTTGTTCTGCTCGCATTCATTTTCATCTGCAAAAAACCCCCACATAGTCAGAACTTGCCTCCCAGTAAACACACAGCTAGCAAAAAGGGGCTGCTAGGTGGGAGTGCTGGTCAGGCCACGGACTGGCTTTCCCCTCCTCGTGACCTGGATCAGGGCAACAGACGAGTAATCCCACTAAATGCTGAAGATCAGTAGCTACTGATGGCAGCACAGTGTTTTGCCGTGCTGTGTCTAATTCGGGAGCAAAGCAGACCTGAGGGGAAAGACAGCATACACACATTTCAGAGTAAAGATGGACACGGTCCCACTGGGAAACTTCCAAACCGGTTGCATACACTGAGGAAGTTCATGTTTTCATTCATCTTCTCATCCTAAACTATTTCACACTCCACTCACAAAGACATTAAAATGAAGTTAACGTGACTTCACTGCATGGTAAAACTAGGTGAATACCAGAATCAGTCAAAAATAAACCCTATCTATTTTTATATCCCACCTGTTACTGCTACACTTGGCCAACTATCCTACAGCAGCGGTAAAGGATTCAACTCTTATTTCAAAATAAAGACACAAGAATGAAAAACAACTGTAAGTATATAAATAAACCTGAAATCAAACCAAAACATTTTAATGAACCCCATGAAACTTTCCCAAGAAAAGTCACGTTATGAGAAATGTCATCGTTTCGGCTTCTTGCCCCAGCTCTGGCCGCTCCCTCTCCCGGCAATTCTTGCAGAGCAGAAATGTCAGCTCACCATGGCAAGAGCGAAGCAGGCACTGGTGCCACACAGGCCACCCCAACCATTAGCTGCTCAGACACTCCGCTCCAAAGATGAGACAAAGAGCTTGGTTCTGAGCTACTCTCCCTGAGGACTTGGCTCCTCGTTGCCCCACGAGGCCCCTTCCCGCTCTGCTCCTCCGCAGCCCCCTCCAGAGCCGTGGCTCCTACGTGTCCAGCTCAGAAGAAAGAGGAGTGCCTGAGCTGGCATCCCACACTTTCCGGAGCAGACTGGATAAAGGTTGCAGAATAACTTGGTAATAGGCCTGGACTGAGTTTTTAGAACCTAAAGCAATTCACCTACACAAATAGTACCCGTGTCAAGTTTCCAAGCTGGCTGCATTCAGCTCTAGATTAGAGCCCTCCAAGGTGCTAAGGGTCTTTATTGAGGAAAAAGCACAACATATGCTTTTGAATCTCTCGGTAAAGCTCTGAAAACTCCATTTTAAAGTCCCTCTATGTCTGTCTGCTTTTTTTCTTTTTTTTTTTTTTTTGGAAAGGGACTTTGTTCGCCAAGATTCTCATTCTTCTGTGCACAAAACGTGAATCAAATAGAGAGGAGGAAACAGTCCCTGCTATTGCTGAGCCACAAAACTAACGATTTCTCTTAGGCAGGCCAGAATGCTGAGGTTATCAATCAAGGTTCACATGGGATTTTACCAAAACAGCTGAGAAGTTATCACTTACTAGATGTCAGAAGCCTAAAACCAAAAAAAAAAAAAGAAAAATACCATTTTAAGAGACAGGTCAGAGATGAGCTCTCTTAGGTATAAGTGGTCCCACACATACGTAGTACCCGCAGCTTGCAGCTGGTGGTGGTGTCTCCTACGAGCGACATGAATTGAGTATTTTTAGCCAAAGAAATGGCTGGTAGCCTCTTTGGGAGGCAGGAAGCACGTCCAGGAGACACACACAGACATTTCCCTTTTCACACACGCAGCAAGCTCCACACTTTCCCTTCTAACAATAAAACTAAAGCTGCTTAAAAACAGAGGGTGAAGAGGGAAAGGGCTAATGGCAAAGGCATTGGAGATGCTGTTAGAAGGTCCTGGAGCTTGGCTTGGTGAAGAGCTGTACCCAGCAATACACCTTGCCAGGCCTCCAAGTTCTACAACACACAGCAGATCTGCCTCTGCTCTTCTGCACCAGTGACAACCAGCACTTTTGGGACACAGACTGGTTTTCTTGAGTGGGTTGGGAGAGTGCTGAACTGATCTTAATCATGGCTTAGTCCAACACGGATCCCGGTATTCAAGAGGTCAAAGGCAATGCACTGAGTTGGTGGGTCCATGATAGAAAGCTGATAGAAAGCAGGCCTAATCTAACCCCTAAGTAACTCTGAAAATGAAAATATAACTTAGGATCAGCAGTTCTGCTTTGGGATTCAAATCATAGAGTGTACTGAAGTCAGCCTAGCAGAGGGAGGTTCGCAGACAATGCTGCTTAGCATTACCGCAGCATCTTCAGCCCCCCTCTTAGGATGAGCTGGGAAAGGAAGAGTATTCTCCATATAGGAAAGGCTAATCCAGATTTGTTTGGTTTCTCTGGAAGGCTGGCACGGTCGCTCTCACATACGTGATCGCGCAATTACTCAGCACAACAGCAAGTCGTTAGAAAGATGAGTGAGCCGTACAACAAGAGAGGCTGCAGGCAGGTAAACCACCATGATTATTACAGCTGAGGGGTTGTGCCATCTGCTTATCATGAAGAGAAGCAGCAGTGCACAATTCCTGCCCAGCCTGGCCGGGGGGGGGATGAAGGCAGCTCCGGCACAGGCAGTCAGGCTCAGGACTCCAGCACGCTTCCCTGCTGCAGGAAATCCTTTCCAGTGAGCCTGCCGCACATTTATTGAGTGCTGGTGCTTGTCGAGGGCACTTCTGTGCCCAGAAGTCTTGCAGAGAAGCAGCCAATAGATGCTTTTAATTAGCTGAGAGCGCTAAGTCAGCCACTCAGCTGCAGGGATGCGGAGCAGCTTTAGCAAAACCATTCTGTAGAATCGGTGTGAGCAAGTATAAAATCAACATCAGAAGGGTAAATCTGCAGCAGGGCTAGGCTGCCCTCTCCACAGGTTCTAACAACCGTGGCCCCTACCCTGATGCCCGCAGACATGAAGAAAGAAACCACCCACGCCACCTTGGTCAGCTATAGTCCGTATGGAAGAAACTCATCTGCCACGCAGCCTGCCAGGCCAACTCAGCTCTCAACTTCTCCATCACATCAAGCCTCAAAGACAAAGATGAGATTCCACTTCCCCCAAACACCAGTACCCCTTCCTCCCTCCACGCCACCTCTTCCTACCCATTGGTGTAGCTCTGCAGCTCCCCAACAGCCACCCCTTCCCAGCTCCTTGCATTGCCCCGCAGAGCATTTTCTTCCGAAGACCTCGCAGCCCAGGTGCTCTCCTCCCAGCACCACACACAACCACAGCCGTCCTCACCTCAGGGGTTCACGGGCATTCCCTCACAAATCCCTGAAGCCCACACTCCCAGCTCTGCTCTCACAGCCCTCCACCTCCCTCCCGGCTATATTAGTCCCTGCCAGCGCAGTCACCAAGTGCCAGCCCCCTGACTACCACCTTGCCATGCTGCCTAGAACCACTCGGGCTGGGCTGTGACCTGCTCTCCTCAAACCCCAGGCCCTGGACAATGCCCCACAGTGGCAGTAAGTATGGGAAGCTTAGCGTGTAGCCCTACACCAGCCAGCAAAACTTTTCTTGGAGGAAAGAGGCATTCAACAGAGCGGGTGAGAGAAAATCTCAAATGACAGGCTGCAGAGCCGTTCCTGAATACCAATGAGTCTGTACCGTGATCTTGCAAAGAGACTCTGCTACTGACAGCGAAGCTGCTGCCTTCAGCGGCTGGACCATGCGGAAAGCAAGGCTAGCTTCTGTACACGCCTAGCTCCAGCAGCACCAGAATGCACTCAGTCGTGGGATGTCGTATCTCACCCTGAGGAACCATGTGCAGAATCAAAGACCCGTTCTAGGCAGCACGGGGGAAAAACTCCTCCCAGAATACTTTTCCTGTTTTATACTGCTTTGTGAGACAATGGAGTGAGATGAGAGCTACAAAACAGAGGGGAAAGAAAGCATTGGTAACTGACACAAGTTATTTCCACCCTTACCAAGGCATGTCTGTCCATCAGGTCCTAGCGTTGTCCCCAGAGAACACGTGCAGTCACTGGTGTCCAGGCAGGAGCCCTGGCAATCCACCACATCACAGATGTCATAAAAATCTACAGCACAACAAGAATTTGTTAGCACAAACCACTGAGCGTGCACCTAAAATACTGCATTTTTACCTTCAGCTTCACGCCCTACGTCTAGTCCATCAGTTACAGACCTAGCCTACATTAGGAAAGCTGAAGAGAAACAATCTGGTTTAATTACTGTAAGTCAAAGATGCAAATTTTGGCTTCTGTAGCATGCCAAGACAAACCACAGGGCCCAAGAGAGCATTAAATCACCGCAGACAGGTCAGCTACAGAAGATTTCCGCTAGCTGAACACAGGCTAGAATTCACAGAGATGAAACAGTCTAATCGATCTCTTATAGACAGGCCACCATCTGCACTGCATCACCCGACACATTTCTGGGTGAGAAAGCCAGAAACCAGTCACCACCCCTCCCAGGTATATGGATGCTCGCTACCTCTCCCATGTCACGGGGATGAAAGGGTTTCAGAAAAGCAATCTCGGCAGTTACTTACGTCCACAGTATGCATGGAAACAAACGCTAGGCTTGCTTAAGTGATACACGTAGTACCCGCCCGGACACGCCTTGACGTCAATCGTGGTATTCCAAAGGCAGCAGTTCCCATTGAAGCTGGCACAGGCTTGGCGCGGGACGATGCCATCCGACTCTCGCGGGTGGCTGCCGTTCAGCCAAATGGGCGCATGGGTGCCGCAGTGGTTCTCCGGGATGCAGAAGGTAGGCATAGCATCGCCAGCCATGCCAGTGAAGCGGTACCACTCCCCGTTGATCTGACTGTCGCACGTTGGCTGGCCGTGGGAACCGTTTATCTGATGATCCGTGTTCCTCCAGGGTTCATTCAGGCTGATGTAGGCAGAGCAGGGGTCCAGGGCTGAGACACACGGCAAGAGACAAGAGAGAACGTCTGGTAGACATCAAATCAAGTTGTTGACTGGTAATTGCAAGGAACACCAAATAACTTTTTCTATTTTTGACTTAACAGAATCATAGTGATAGATAGAGATCCCCGGGGAGGAACAGTGATACCAGCTAACTAATTGCCTTGGAAAATTCTGACAGCTCAGCTTAAATGTCTTGGAAGATAAAGTAAATTAACAGAGCTCTTACAACATTATACAACAGTCTGACTTGTTGTTCAGCCGCTGTACAGTATGACGGGGGAGGGGGGAATAAAATATAAATAAACCTGTGGTCCAGGGAGTGATTTTGCCATAGGAAATATGTTCTGGGAGCACTGGATCAAGCCTAGGACATCCACCCTTTGGTCAAGTGCTAACTGACCACCTGCAAGTCCCTCCTGAAGTCACTGTAACTCTCCCACGTGCCTTAGAGAAGAGGACCAGACTTCAAACAGGTTATGCAGCCTCTCTCAAAATCCATCCATAGCCCACGTCAGCCCTCGCAGTTGAGTTGCCATAACCACAAGCCAGAGATCACCTTGCAAAGCATCAGTTAAAACGTGAACTGCAAGATATGCAAACAGGAATGCTACGTTTAAGGGGCACAGAAAGAAAATATCCCATTTCAATTATTAGACCCCTATCTAATTTTAAGGGATCTCTAAGCCTAATTTATCAGCTCCTACTCACTTCAGGGTAAAATTTTAAATAGCTAAACATAAGAACTGCTACCCCAGGTCACAATGCAGTTGATCTATAGCCTGTCTCTAGATCTATAGGCTGTCTTTAACCAAGAGCATATGCTTGGAGAGGTGAGGTAGGGTCTCTTACCCTGCTCCAGTTACCTGGGGTTTTGTTCTCCACTCTCTCCCCTACAGTACACTAACGCCAAGGTGAGCTGAAAGAGATGCAACTCAAACCCACGCACTCTGTAAAATTCTGCAGTGGGGCAAGATTGAGGTGGCAGCCCCTTGTATCTAAAGATTGACTTAGATGTGACCTGGTCTCCTTCAGAGACTCTGTCCCCACTTCCCTTCCCACCAAATGCTAACCTACGATTGACAGTAGCTATGTGTGATGTTGCTGCTTCCCTGCATCTGAAACAGCTTCTCCAAATATTTTTATTTATTAACTTAACATCTAGAGAGCATGAAGGTCTCAACCAGGAGCTTCTGGGAAGCAAAATGTTCAACTCTTTATGCATTCCTTGCAAGCCCACAAAACCCTCCTGACCTCCACAGGAGCTCAGGTGTTTGTGAGTGAAGTGAGTGTTTGCGAGGGCAAGATATAAACACATGGAGCTCCTGGTACATGCATGTCTGTTCATGCAGTGCTCAAGGAGCATGTCCCTTTTCAGAGGCCTTCATGAACCTTCTACAAACAATTAAAACATAAGAGTACCATAGGGAGGAAAAAAAAAAAGAAACAAAGCGTTCATTACATTTTCAGTCTTCTCCTAATTAACCCTGATTTGGCAGCTTCCTCACTAAAAGTCCAGAGGTTTCATTTTCTCTTATATTTAATACCTGATTAAGCACCACTTACCCGTGACTACCTATTCCCTATCAAGCAAAATGAATGCTAATGCTGTCTTGAGTAAGGAAAATTGATTACCATTTGCTAGAATTAGGCTAATAAAACCAATCATTCTGATTAAACACATCTCAGACTGGAATACCCTCTACTTTCCACACCACATTTCTTTTTAAGTTCTAAATTGCGCTCTCTGTTTTGTTTAAACAATAGGATGATGCTATTTGGGTGGGGGGAGACATATTGTTTCTATTAGAATGCTCCAGACACAAACGAACCTTCTTGGTTCATTATTTTGATTCGCTTCACTGACTTTAAAGTAGGAACTACAAACACTTCAGAAAATGGACTTCAAGTCACCCTTATTTAGCTGGATCCTCTGTAAATACCTGTCTTGCTGACATGCTGTCTTGTACCTTCTCGCAAATATAATATCTCTCTTGACAAACGTCCTTACACCATCCTCCACATTTTGGTTGGCCTCAAATCCAGCATAAAAGGCAAGGGCAGCTGCTGTAGTCGGGATAGCGCTGCAGAGCTGCACGCTGGCACGGGGAGCACAAGTCTGGGTTACAAAGGGAATCTCTAGTGCCATAATTCACGAGATACGCAGAGGAGCAGATTCACTCCCTCTGCAGGCAGCCCCTAGCCCTGAGCAGCGGAGGGGGAAGAGTCAGCAGCAGCACTGTTAAATCTCATCCTCCAAAAACTTCCTTGACTTCTTGTGATGGGAAAACGTGGGTCCTGCCTTTGCACACAGCTGAAAAGAGCTTCCTCCGGGCTTCCCTTGGTATAACTCACTTGGTTTCCACAAGATGATTTGGTATGGCCTTCGGGTGAGTCACTGACTAAGATGAAAAGGTTTTTGCAGTGTTAAAAGCCCAGTGAGGTGAAGCGAGGAATGCCCCGTCAGCTTCCCAGCTGGGCAGCACCAAAAATACACACACTCTCATTAGCTTTCATCTAGTATAATTAACTTTATGAAATATCCTTCGTAGACCGACTCTGAACACATTCATCCAGGGAGACAACATTGTCTCCGAAACAGGCAGGAGATAATTTAAAGACAAAATTTACTGAGATGAACAGGCAGCGGCTCAGAGGGAGCTGGAAGAAGGCATGCCAGGGGAATAGGGTAGCACACCCTCCCATCTTTCATTGCTCCGAGAGCTTCAGGAGGGAGCGGAGGGGAGGCAGACCAGCAGAAAAAGCAGGCAGTGCTCTTTTGATCACCGCAGACCCTCACGCCACCCTCAGACTGCCAGGGCAGCTCCAAGCCAACCTCCCTGCAGACACCAAGCAGTCTTTGGCAGCACGGTTTACTGAAAACTAATTTGAGTTTTTAAGAAAAAACTCCACAAAAATACAGAAGCCACCAATCAACTTCTCATTTCTTCTCCCCAAAGAACCAAAGCATGGGGGTTTCGCACAAGACGTATAACTGTCTCCCACTCCCTCTCTTTTTCATTTTTCTTGGCTCAATTTTTTTCCTCCCCAACACTTCCTTGCATAGCCCGAGCAATTCAGCCTGACAAACATTAGCTATGAAGTAAAGCTTTTCAATTTGTAATCTTGATGATATCATTAGTTCTCTAGTTGACATGCTAGCATATATATTGGATGACAAATCAGGCTCTAGCAAGCATTCATAAGCCCACCATTCTGCAGAATGATTAATCCGGCGAGTATTGTGTAACCAGAGGTCTCCGCTCTGGCACGGCTAAGCAATGAAATGAGCAGCACTGCATTATGACACTAAATTCAGTTAACATTTGTCAGAGAAGCGGGTGAAAAGGTAGCATAATATCTACTCATCGAGCCTCTCCTCCAAAGGGAGAGGAAAATCCCACAGTGTCTTGGCAGCAGAGATTCTCCCAATATGGGAGCCTTCAGGCTCTGTGACAGAAAGATCTTTCCAATTGGAAAGAATTTCACATCACCTTCAAAGAAAAAGGATATTTCTTGTGTCTTCCAGTCTTTCACCTAAGAATACCAGGGCTCAGTATGAACCTTGGAGATGGCAAACAGAAATAAGCTTGAAGGCAATGCCTCTTTACTCACCCATCGAAGACACTGGCTGCAACTGGATGATGAAGCAGATACAGAAAAACAAGTACTGGAACATCCCACTCAGCCAAGGAGCAGTTACCACTCAAGTAACAGAGGCTTGAAAGCCCTTGCGCACGCTGTGGCTCTTGCAGCCGCCTTCTCGATGCAGCTTCTGACCCCAAGCTTTCTGAAGAGCAAGTGTGGTAGCTCCCCTGGAAGTTTATCAGAGGAAGAAGCTGAAGGGATGTGGGGTACAGCTCCAGCCTTGACCTCCACAGAGCAGCTCTGCCCCTTATTGACAACAGAGATGTACTCACTGATCAATCTTGTTTTTAGGACTCAACCCGCTATTGTTTTCTGGCCTGACTGCCCCACAGTGACACCTCCACTATCTTATCTGGAGAAGAATTCTAACCAGGGGACACCCGGACATCCCGAAGGGATGGAAAAGAAGAACAGATGGGTGCTTGCTGTTATCTCTGCTCCTTCCACAAGTCATACGACTTCATGTCTCCCCATCGGCAGAAAACACCAACTAGAGAGTCTTTAACTGCAGGAAATAGTGGCCAAAGGAGGAGAACTGATCCTTCCGAGCAGAGATTGCAGATGAGTGCTTGGAGCAGAGCTACAATGGGAACATCAGTCAAAGTGAAGGACTGCTGTCCCATAGGGAAATAAGCTGTTCCTACGCTACACAAAGACCCATTCCACTCCCGATCACGTAACCCGCCTATTGCAGCGAGCCTATCAAACAAGGCAAATAAAGACATTTTTCTGCAGTAGTCTTATGATCTCTGTCTTAAAAAAAAAAAAAAAAAAAAAAAAAAAAAAACAAACACCAAAAAACCAACCCAACAATCAAGAAACCCAACAGTACTGAATTAACTTCCATACAAAACTGAGTAATTAAGGACCTCTGCCTTACCAGTTCAAACCAAACTAGGTTGAGTTGCAGGTCATAATCACGTGCTCTGGCTGTAGATGAGATGCAGCACACTGAAATCTGTTCTCCACTAAAGTAAACCAAGAGCCACAACTAGCAGAGAGACACACCAAGGACAACATGAATAAGCAGAAAGGGATCTTCCCTCTCGTCCTGCTAGCTGCTAACTTTGTTTTTTAACATATATACATCTACTGGTCCCTCCCGGCTTACAGGCATAGTTCTCCTCCTGAAAATCACCTGCAGGCAGAAAGCTCTCCATCAGCAAAGAGTACAGCTAAGCCTCCAGTAATTGTACAAACAAGCCAGCATAGGCATTTCCCCGTTTCCTTTGCACCCTGCATTTCTGCAGCAGACTGGTATAAGGAATAGCGTCAAGGTTGATGTGCTAGCTTCAAACCCCGGTAGGAAAAAATGAGCTATGTTATTTTCATATTGAGTTTGCGTGAGACAAAGAGTTGGGTATTTGCTCGCTTTGTAGGGACTGTACGTTATAGAAAGTTCTCAATGGCCTCTCTTTGTCTGGGTGCTCCCCTGGCAGTGAAGTGCAATATGCTGCTCTGCTCCACCCCAGCAGAGGGTTTGGTTTTTTTTTCAGTGGTGAATGACTAGGGAAGAACAAAAGAAGCTTTATAAATGACTGCCATTGCTCCCACCACCACCACAAAAAAAAAAAAAAAAAAAAAAAATCTTTGTGCCTATATTGTGCTGACAGCTGTGTAGTATCAGAAAAGTTTTTTCAACAACAGGAAAGGAGAACAAATTCACTATGCAAAGCTAGCAAGGCAGATAACCCTCAAAACGTGATTATGTGAATTCCCAGAAGAGAAACTAAAATTGAACAGAGCATAATACGGCAGCCACAGAAAGTTATACTTTGCCATTTTCATTGAGAGGTTGAGTCACACTTAAGAACCTGTGTAAATAAAACTGACAAGCTTGAATTGAATTTTCTATTTGTGTTAGAAGTGCATGTATTTCTCTGGACCATTTCATTACCAGCTGCTTTTACCTTTATAGGTGTTAGATTAGGCCTGACACTAGTAATGCTTTGACAGTTATATGTGACTGACAACTAACAATTAACATCGGGAAATGAACTGCATCATGGCAGTTTTGAGCCTCAAAGGTGTCCCAAGCAGGCCCCATCAAGTTCTCCAAAAAGGATTCAAGCAGGAGATGCCCCAGCATTCCCAGAGATAACGCTTTCCCAAATCACCATAACATTCAGTTCAAAGAAACAGTCTAAAGCTGGAGGAGAGTCAGTGCGCTGCCTCTAAACGTTTTTGGGATCCACAGGAAAGACAAAGACCACCTCAGTCTTCTGGAAGAACCACCAGCAGAGGCAACTCTTCCATCAGCGCTTTCTCTTTGCTTTGCAAGTTATTCGGGTGACATACGTAGCTCCAGTTCCCCCATAAACAATACTAGGCTGTATTAGAATAGGCCACCACAAATCTATGCCTCAGGGAGCTGGAGTAACTATTCCCAGGAGGGGAAGAGGAAAAAAAAAAAAGCAAACAAAAAAATCTTCCTGCAAACAGACCCTCTGGGAGAGAGAATACAATCCTAATGGATTAACTCTAGATGCTGTAGGGCCTGCACTCTCTAGGCAGATCTGGCAAATCTGTTGTTCCTGACCACCACTTCCCTGTCCCAAAGATGAGCAAGCCTGACTTCCCAAGACACAAGAAGCATCAGGATCAAGTTAGCATTCCTTAAAAACAGTCATTAGTATGTGTTAGCAGACATGAATAGGGAAGGCAATGTTAAAATAGAGGGCTGTGATTTTATTTTAGTACACAAGAGATGGGATCTTCTAAACCTGCTGCTATCTAAGCCTGGGTACGTCTATTCTTATTGCAAGAAAGGATGCTAATTTTGCAGGTGGCAACCACACTTCTTCCCCCTCCCAGAGATTTGGAGGAGTTTACCATCCTCACACAAGGAACTGAAATTCTTCAAAGCATTGGCTAGGCTGGAAAGCTTCATACCGTTTGTAATGGACTACCAAATAAAGATGCTTTGGTGCTTGCTGAAGCTGGCCTTGTCTTTGTCAAAGCCACCGCTCGACACACAAGTGTGTGAATAAGAACTCTTGGTGCAGGAGTAGCCCCCGCAGCCAGCTGAGAAGGAGCAGGCGGAAGGGCTAATCAGCCCTTCCTGCCCCTGAGAGAGAGGAGAACCTGACACACACGACATGATCCCCGTCTACTGTTGATTTGAGGATGTATGTTCACAATGAGCCTTGACAGGCTGCCGAGATGGATTGCGTGAATGTCAAGGACTTAGAGATAGACCTTGTTGCCGTAAACAACTTGTCCCAGGACACGGGGCCAATGGGAAGGGCTGTTGAGACCAGGGAGCGAACTTGAGTTTGGTGAAGTATGAGCAAACTCAACACAAGAAAAAGTAAAACACCAAGATGCCATTAAAATCAGACAAGTACGTAACTTCTAGTGAAGAGTAGCAGTTATTTCCTTTCCCTTGGTGGAGCCTTCTGATGCAGAACTTGGGTGTTTTGAGAGCATTTTTCCACGGGTCCTACAGAATCCAGTGTATTTTCCATGATCCTCCATTTCTAGATGGAGGAATTAGGGCATAGACAGCTTACCCACAATTGCAAAACTGTAGTCAGTGGCAGAAACAGGAGCAGGACCCATCTTTTACAAGTTCACAGAGCCACAGTGACACAGTGAAACACCAGCTTCTCCCATAGTTCAGGGCTTAGATATACTGCAAGTTTAATTTCCATTCCTGAATTTTACTTTTCACCACTATTAATGTCAGTATAGAAATAAACCTGATTTTTTTTTTGAAAGGGAGTAATTGGAATCTCTTGGGATAGGTAGAAAAATACTTAAGATCTAAAAATGTTCTTCCTATGTGAAAATAAAGTCATGTAATGCTGCACAGAGGAAAGCAGTTTGTATTTACAACTCCACAAGAGATCAAAGGAAACGTTCCTCTGGCTGAGAAAGACAGGGCAACTTGGCCAGCTTCACTCAGCTGACATAGTGCCAAGGCCTGACAGCCAAGAGCAGCTTCAGAGCATCATGCAAACCCTCTTAGAGCCAACATGGCAGTGTAAGAATTTGCAGCAAGGTGATCACCATCACTGCCTGCCAAGGTAGGAAGGGTTACAGGGGAAAAGAAAAAGGGTTTCTTCTTTGCTCTTCAGGAAAAAGGAGTCACGAACACCTCCCCTAGAGAGGTCTGCAAGGTATGGATTCGCAGACATGGCAAAAAGGGAACCTAATATGTTTCTCCAGATAATTTTGAACTTTGCATGTGTTTATTTGAAAGCTCCCTCACAGAAAGAGAGGAAATAGAGATTAAGCAAAATTTGTAGACAAAGCAGCATCTGAACACTGCAGTGCACGCTGCTGTTTGTCCTTCGCAGGGTGTTAAGAATGCAGTGTTACATTAAGATGCAGGTAGCACTGCCTGCTCTGAAAGTGCTGCCAGGGGGACAGGACCCTGTTACCTGCCTAACTCCTAGGCATGAAATAGCCACTGCAAGAGAGTTTGTTGATGCTGATATACCACAGCGTATATCAGGAGAACAAACACCACCCCTCCCTTCAATGTTAGCATTCAAGGGCAACAAAAGCAGAAGCACCGAGATTCGAGTTTGAGGTTTGTGGCAGGTCAGCCACCCCCAGCAGAGACCACACATGCACTGGTGGTGTAGAGAGGAGCGAGACAGCAATCTTCCAGGGGTACAGACTAACAGGACCCACCGGCCAGCCCGTATTTCAGGCTACAACTGTATACACCTTATTTTACTCCTTTTCCCACATCTTCTCTAGAACAACATGAAAGCAGTGTGCAGGAACAACTTTGTCACACCATTTTCTTGCTTTCAAGATAAGGATTGTGGTGCTAGGTGTCAAAGTCTTCAGTTCTCCTGGATGCCAAAATGGAAGACGACTTATGCAACCGTTCCAAGAAATTTGCCTAGGGACGACAGCAGCTCATACGAACACAGCAGCAGGCTAAGGGCTGCTCGGAGGAAGAGGGTTTGTCAGCACTGCCAATCTAAAGTTCAACAGTGATTTAAAGGTAGGTCGCAACGACTAACAGCTTCCAGCCCCTCCTCCCTGACTTTAAAAAACACAGGAGAAAATTGGCTGATTTTAAAACTGGCCAGTTATGGATTTTTTTTTTTTTCTTAAATACAGTCAGCGGACATGATTAAAAAAAAAACAAACAACTCTTCTGGCACCAAATGTCTCATCCTAACATCCCATGAAGTTAGGACAAAATACAGTCTGCTGATTCCCAGAGTTAATGAGCAAACAACAGGTCATCATGACAAATCAAACCATGGTTGCTCAAAGGCCCAGAAAGTAACAGAAGCTTAAAACTCGAGTTTTCTTCCAAATTAGAACTTGAATTCAATATAGAAATACACTGATCCCACGTGGTATGCTTTTAGGTTGCTAGGCATTAAGCACCCGTGAATACTCTTATCCTGCAACCTGCCACGTGTCTCCAGATTTTGTCAGCCTCCACATGGAGCTACTATGCTGGCCAAACAAAGGCAGATCTTTGTTAGACCAAACATCTCTACCTCACCACCTCAACTGCTCCCGAGATCCCTGTGTTACGCAGCTAGGCACGGCAGCAAGATCTCCACCCAAGCTTCTTCAGGAAAGCTATTATCTGCATCACCACGGCCTCAGTGATGTAAGGTCAAGAAGAAACAACCTAAACAAAAAAAAAAAAATGGAGGAAACTCAGGAGACAGCTGCCACACATTGAATATTCTCTTCTCAGTTGGGGAAAATAACGTTATTCGAGAGCACCAATTCAAAAATTGAATAGTTATTTATTGTTCCAGAAGTACATTGCTCTTTTATACATATTTCATAAATGATACAGGATTTTACACGTTTAGTTTTTGTGTGGGTTTTTTTTTTTTTTTTTTTCTAAAGAAGGACTTTTCTCCATGCTCCCTCCCTCATCCCAAACACACACCAAGGATTCAGCTTCAGGATTGTGTTCATTTTTCTCCCTTTAAAACTCACCACACAAACAGGATAAAACAGATAAAAAATAATCACACAATATAATTAAATTGAAAGACAGAGGAAAAAGGGAAGGGGGGGAACCTAGAAACATGCACCCATTCGGTCCAACATGCCATTGAGTGAGAAGAGGCAGCAATCCCAGCTGTGTTTCCACATCTGCAAGGCACCTGGCGTCTAGTTAATACTGATTTGTTTTTTTCTTTCCTATTTTTTAAAACATGGTTCTTCAAAAAAAAAAAAATCAGAAGCCTCTTTCCATGACACAGTGAGGAGTAGTGAAAGATCAAAAAAGCAGCCAGCTTTTCTGTATATAAAGCTTAGTGCCCTTCTCCCACCTTCATCCTGTCTCCACAGTATTTATCAGCAGGATGCTAAACCAGACTGACCTGCTTTGAATGAAGAGATGTTTTATCTGCTTAGAAATCAGCCAGCTTTGGCTAGAAGAGAGGGCAATGGGTTGACTTTCCTTCCTCTATTTCTTTTAGCTAAGAACAAGAGATGTCATTAGCCACTCCTAAGAAATTCTGACCTGTGGGCGCAAAGTTCATTTAAAGCTACTTAAGTCAGGGAAAGTGCTAGAGAACTGAAATAGTTCTGTGTCTTGCACTGTAAGAGCCCTGGGCTTTCAAAAAGCCTCTGGGCAAGGAAAATGCTTTGACCATATATGAGACCTTTTAATCCATTACACAAGCAGTCAAAGATCAAGTTTAATTATTCCATGTTCCAAAACTGTTCCTTTAAGCAAGAGTCATGATTCTGCAACAGTTTCTTTCATAATCCTTTAAACCTTCATAATTTCATAGTCCAGGTGGCTATCAGATTTGGGGTAGGAAGAGGGGAATCTCCCTCCCTTAAGACTGAATATAAAAAAACCTCTCATGCAATGCTGCCATTGATTTCTAGAAGAAGCTCAAGGGCATCGGGACGCAAAGTTTATATAGTTATTATGGAATAATCCAAAATATCAATTATCAAATGTCCAGAAGAAAACTCGTTCCTTCTCCCACTTGGCTACAACCAATCTGTGCTACAGATAAGCAAAGGAGGAAGTCAGTGGAGCACATGGGGTGGGCTGGGAAGGGGAAGCTCACGGTTTTCCAGTAGAAAGCAGTCTTGTAGTAACTTTATAAAAGAGACCAGGTCTGATCAGAAGTGTGCGTGTTAATGGCGGTTCTTTTTTTTTTTTTTTCCCCTTTGTTTTGAGAGAGAAAGAGAGATCTGAATCAGGTAAAGGAAAATTTAAAAAGCTAAGCAGGCTGCTGGTGTCTTATCAAGAGGCAGACCCTGCAAAGCTGGAAGAAGACACCCCTACACCCCAGCATGACATTCTTTTCATGAACCCCCCCAATCCTGTATTTGTACACAATTGCCATTCAGACAGTTTTTGAATGTGACTATTTGCCAAGCCCTTTTCAGAACTAACATTCCACAATGTCCCATCTTCAATTTAAGAGATATCCCCCCCTGCAGTCCTTTGTCTTGATTAAAGGTAAAAACCCCTCCACCCCCACACCACCTCCCAGCTTCCACCTGCAATGCTTTAATTAAAAAGGCAAGAGCTATGAACAGGTTTTTTGCCGGGGTTCAGAGCTTCTTTGCTGATCAGTCCTTTTCATCAATTTGCTGGATGGGCAGGTGAACCTGCAGCGGGTCTCGAAGCCTCTTAAGGTCCAATTCTGCCTAAAAGTAAAAGACACATTATAAAGAACAAGCTCCCAATACACCTTCCCCAATACCGTTCCCCTTTACAGAACAGAAAGCTTTTCAATTATTTCCTTGTTTTTCCTGTCGTGAAGGGAGGGGTTCAAAAAGTAAAACAAAGTCACAGGCTCGTATTTGGAAAAAACATTCTCGGCACCTACTGAAAGACATTTGCTCTGTACTTCTCTGAACTTGTCTACATGCAGCCACTTAAAAGGAATATGGTAGGGAAGGCCTGATCACCATAAACTCACTGGGAAAAAACAAACTGGATTAATGGGAATGGTTGATTCTAGAAGAAAAGCTCCATGAAAATACAGCCACCCAAGGGTATCTGTATTCAATACAGCATGGGAAAACCCAGAGGTCTTGCAGGGGTTTCTCATGAAACCAAGAGAGCTGAGCCCTGACCTCCCTCTACTGCTTGCACAGCTCCTTCTCCAAGGCAGGGGGACAACATGTCTTGCCCTGGATATCCCTACACTGTCATTTCCAGAGGAATAAGGAATAAACAGAGAATGATACAGGGCAGGGAAAAAGAATGTGGTAGCTCTGCTTTTTCTGCTCATGCCATCCTTCTGCAGAGAGGCTCTCAGAAACACAAGGGAAAGATCTCTATTTGACTCCTCCGTTGAACAGATCCCACAACGTGGACAGCCTGCCAAAAGGGTCCGTTCTCCAAAATACAAGAAACCTGCCCCCATTGCTTCTAACAATACACCTAAAATCTTTGAACATGTTTTCCAGGACTGCAACCCCATGCACTGAAATGCTATGTCAGGAAGACACGAACTGAATGGATGCAAGTCTTCATCCCTCACTAAATCCATCTGGTGTGTAGGAGCTGAGAAGAAAGGAAATCTTGAATTAGGCTCCTCTGAGGCATGAAGTGCCTGAAGCAACTCAAGATTTGCCAGCAGTTTCTAAGAGGCCCTTACAGATAGATACAGGCAATCGTTTCATGTTGCTTTACACATCCAGCAGCTCTATTCCTGGGCACATCAAAGCCAATTCAGTGATTGCACTGGGGCTGTGACAAGAAAACTGGCTGAAAACTTAAGATACATCCATTCTTGTTTGAGGTGCATCTATTAATAGCAGCTAAGAACTAGCAAGCAGTAATTTCTTTGTCTTATTTCTGGAAAAAATCTTGTTACCTGAGCAATTGCATCCTTGAGTTGATTGTATTTCTCTAGATCAAATCGTGTCTTTTTGGCTCCTTTATGGAAAAATAATAAGTACTGTCTGTCTCTGGCATCTGGATAAACATATTCCTAAGAAGAAAAAAAGGAGAGAAGATAGGACTAAAGCATCAATGGGATGCAACATGGGATACCATAGCACAGCACTTATGAGGTGTGTTTTGGGAGGATGACTGGTTTCTGCCAGTGAAGGCACAAGACCAGACAGCATTGCCTAAGCTCACCCAGGGTGATGGGGTGACCCCAGCCAGCAGCTAAGCCCCCACCCTGTCACTCGCCCACTCCCCTGCAGCTGGACAGGGGAAGAGACTCAAAAGGGGAAAAAATGAGGAAAACTTATGAGTAAAGACAAAGACTGTTTTAAAAGTGAAGGAAAAAAAAAACCACACCCAACCGTAAGAGTAATGCAAAAGCAACCACTCACCACCTCCCACCAGCAGACCAATGCCCAGCCAACCTCCAAGCAACAGCTACTTTGGAGAAAATCCCCCCTAGTTTATTGCTAACCATGACATTACAAGGTACGGAATATCCCTTTGGTCAGCTCAGGTTAGCTATCCTGGCTGCGTCCTCTCGCAACACCTTGCCCACTCCCAGCATATTCCTGGGAGGGAGCAGAGGGTAGGGGAAGCAATGAGAAACAGAGAGGGTCTTGCTGCTGTGCAAGCACTGTTCAGCAACACTGGTGTGTTATCAAGACTGTTTTGGTCACAAATCCAAAACACAGCACCATACCAGCTGCTATGAAGAACATTAACTCCATCCCAGCCAGACCCAGTACAGTCACGCATTGGCTTCTCTACCAGTATGTTACACTCCAGCAGTGAGTTACCATCACCTCCCTCCTGTCCCAAATGCGTGAACCCTTCCATGCAGAAAGAACAAAAACTAACACATTTCAGGGCTCCAATACTGACAAGTTTGTGGGGAGAAAGGGAGAAAAAAAAAAAAAGCCATAAATAGCAGAAGAAAGCCTTTGTAAGATGGCCCTTACCCTCTTTTTCTTAAGGTCATAAACACACAATGGCTAACTAAAGCAACAATAGTTGCTTATGAGCTCATCTCTTAACCCAACTACATGGGTGAGAACAAGAATCCACTACCACAGCTTTTACCAGGCATATTCTACTGCAAAAAGTCACAGCTTTTTAGGGCATGCAGATAACTTGGAGCAGCAGAGCTGTTCACACCAAATCCCACATAGCCTCTAGAAAGCACAGGTCTGCCTGCTGCAGTTAACTCTCCCTTGCACTGGAACATCACAGCCCCTGTGTCTGGTATGCATCCAACCATCAGGGCTGTCAGGTGGAGAAAAGCCGCACTTCAGAGTCAAGCCATCCCTGAAACACTGAGATTTTAAGTCTCGCAGAAGAAGTACTAGTTTATATTGACAACTTGATTAAAACATCAAATCCAGGTCCAAACATGGCAGAAGTTCCAACCACACTTGGCAGAAACTATAGCAGGAGCCCTGACAGGGGCATGTGTGTCCTCAGCCCCCAAAACGATGCAGCTGACAGATCGCTGGGAAACCACGCTGGAACACAAGGCCACCAGAACAGATGCTGTGGGTGACAGTAGAGATTCTTTGAACCCTCCCTCAGATTTAGGTGGGATTATGAAGTTTGAATAGGAGTGCCGAGACAAACCACATACTAGAAATCCATGCAGAGTACGTCACAGCTACAAGGATCCGAAGAAGCACAGCTCCACTCTGCATGAAGATTTTCAAACACTGAAGCAGGTCTATTTTTTAAAAGACTGAGCCCGAGAACCAACAGATCTGGAACTGCACCAAGGGGCAAGCATTCAAATAGATCTGCTTCATCTGGATGAGTCCAGATCCACAAAATAACCGAAACAAAAGCATTCCCAATATGTTCCCTGCACCTTTCTCATCTCTCTAAAAAGGCCAGCACCTCATGTCAGAGAGGTGTGCTTCCCTGAAACTCCGTAGGTACCTCATGTACCCCTAGTTTAGTTGGGCCGATAAATAACAGCACTTGGAGACCTCCAGTGCAAGTCAACATGCGTCAGGCTGTGTGTGCGCAGAAACCATTACCTGCCAGCAGATGAACCTGTAAAGCTAAAGCAGTTGATCACAGAAGGTACACAAGCATTTATGGTTAGATGACCAGGAAATCAGCAACGGCCACCACCAGAAAACTCCACAACCATACACCACTATCCTGGACAGCAACAATTAAGTGGCACCTAGGTTCTTGACAGGATGAGGAAGGGGCAAAATAACATCCAACAGGCACAATTTTGCTATTTGTCTAGGGAGTAGAGCTCAAAGCAGTTCTTCTATTGAAGTGTCAACGTCAGCACAACAGGTCCTACCTGGCGAGTCATTACGAAATAAGCATACATTGCCATGGCACTACCATAGGTGATGAAATAGGTGACTGGTTCCATAATGTCCCAAGAATACTCCCACCAGGTTAGGCGGGCCAGAATCCCAAACTGAGTGGCCATGTAGGCCAGGCCTCCCCACAACACCAAGGTTGTCCTCTTCTCTGAAAATGAGCTCCATCCTTACCTGCAGGAGACAGAAGTACATGGCTTGTATTCACAAAAATAATTATGTTCATATAATTAAGAAAGAATGTAAAAATAACCCCTTGTATTTATATTAAACGCTAAGTGGTTTGAGACATATGAGTCTAGGTTATGCAGACAAATCCAGACTGCTTCTCCATCCATATCTTGCCTTCATCCATATTTTACTCTATGTTCAGAGATGTTCCATTACATTAACCCCAGTCTTTATAACTGGAAGTGAGCTTGGTGGTAAATACAAAGCAAGGAAACAAAATACTTCCACAGAAACCAGAAACAGGCATGGTTTGGCATACACTTGGCGCATCTTCCACTTCAGTGATCTTAAAGCTATTTGAGGCATGCCAGGGACCTAATTAAAATCTTGAAATAAATCAAGGCTGCATTTGGAGGATAAGTAAAACACAATGAGAAACACCTCACTTTTTCTAGTGGTGCTAGTTGCTCCTTCAATTCCTCTAGTCTCCCTATCAGCTCCTTCTCTTTGTTCAGCTGGTGCTCTTCAATGCACAAGGCGGTATAAAAAATGTCTTGACATCATTCAGCGTCGTTGCATTTTCATGGCTTAAGAGCTCTGGAAAAAAGAAAATAGACTGCTTCATACTCATTTAGCCACAGAACTACGTACATACTTTTCCAAAACTGCTATTTGTCTGCGCAGGAAATGCATGAAACTATCTTCTCAACAAAGAAGCCTTTGGAAGAGCTCCAGCACTCTAAGACAATGCAATTTCTTCAACAGAATGAGAGGCTTTATTATCGGATATTTCTAAAATTTGATAAGAACAAGGAAAAGATACACATGCTATTAGCTTGCTAGGTATCAACAACTACTTCTGATCCATATTTATATACAAGACTTAACAAAGACAAATGAACAACTAAACTACAGTATGATTCATCACACCAGCTGTCAAGAAACAGCCGGAATTCAGACTACAGGCCATCAGCAACCATAGTTATTGATGACAGCAACCGAAGATCTTGGGTTAATGGCCTCAGAACATGCAGTCTTACGATAATTATTTTGAGTACCAATGCCAGGAACTGTTTCCCACTCTGTGGGCAACTCCATGCTGTGCTGCCTACAGGGCAATGAAATTTAAATAAAGACAGTAACAGGGCCACCAACTGAAACTGCCTTTATCCCTGCATTTCAACACAAAAAGGATTCCTAAAAGAAATCAATTTGCGAAAGCGTTGTGACTAGTGGCATTGTATTACACACTCCATATGGAAAAAAACCCCAGTTCCAAATTAAAGCAAAAGAACTCAACATCAGCCAAATAAGAAAAAAAAAAATTTTTAAATTATTTTTTTGTAGCATCCTTTGGCTTGTACCTTAGGTTTTCTTCTCAAAATATTATTTTACCAATGCATAAAAAGCTGTGGACAGCTTAAGTTTTAACACCAGCAGCTCAAGGGAAAGAAGTGACTCAGTTGTCTGTGCCAAGGCACAAGAGAAAGCATGCCACATCCCCCTCCCAGCTAAAGGGCTCCTGTTCCCCTATGAAGGAAAAAAAAAAAGCAACTATCGAAAAGTACTTAGTATCTAAGATTACAGCGTTCTGACATTTCCATTTCAAAATACACAGGGTGATTTTGTAGAAATGAAAAAGCAATAGCTGGAAAGTTCAACAGAACTAATCTCAGTGCCTATTTACGGGCACATTCATTTTTATACAAGCTAATTATAGAAATCTCTTTGGCAAATGAATCAGAGGCAGCAATTTCACGTAACCTAGGTGATCCCAGAGCTCACCTACCAGTGCAGATCGGGTGTATCGTACAAACAAGCCAACCAAAGCCACACCAACTCACTGACACAGACTTTGCTCTCCCAAACATTAGGTGAGTGGGATGTATGAACTGCCTTACCTTGGGACAGCAACTTCTCCAGTGCAGAAACAGACACCATGTTTGCATTCTCATTTAGTTGTATTAAAAATTACAGACTAGACCAGCTAGGCTTGATACCATCACCTGCTCTCAGGGGCTAACAGTTGGAAGAAGTGTTGAAATCCTCACCCCACTCCTCTGGCTTACAATGTCTTTAAAGTGTGTGAAAACACCACATTCAGGGGACAGAGCAGCAGGGTGAGAGAGTAGAGAGTAACTTTTTGTGTGCATGCAGGATACCCAGAGATTTAGATATCCAGTCTGAATGGAGAGATTTCTGTTAAGGTGCTTTAAGGAGACTGGAAAAAGACATCTCTAGTGGAGGTCAGTCTAACCCACAGACAGGGGAGAAATGGCATCTCACTAATGCTGCACTCCCAAATTCCAGAATCTCCCACATGCTAAGGACAAGTGGCTGCACAGAGTTCCCAGAGTCAGAAATTTATTTTTTACTTGGTATTTTTATATTGTGAACAATAAAATGCTAGAATATATTTTTATTGTTTTCCTTGCAAAAAGGTCCTTGGAAGCTAAATACATCTACAGGAAGATGGTGTGTATCAGCAGATCTTCCTAGAAGTCAGCCACCCAGGGTAGCCTCAGATTCAAAAGTCGGTCGGCCTCTCGATTTTTCATAGATCAACTTCCTTTAGCATGTTGTCTGTTTCAGGCTGCTCAATATGGTAAAAGGAAGGTTAACAGTTTCCTCCCAGCTTTTGCTTTATGAATGATTTTGTTCATTATCTACTGCTTGAAGAGGGGCATGGGAGAGGAAGGCCCAAACTCTAGGGAAAACATCCTGATAAATAGGGGAAGGCATTTCCACCACCTAAGCTCAGCTGGACATGCAAGTCAAGTTATAAATTCTTCCTAATTTGTTTGCCTGTCTACAGGGCTAAAAATTCCTTTTAGAAAAATACTGCTTGTAAACTTCACATTACTGCCTGCAACCACAACAGCCCAACAAGGTAGACAAAAATCCCCCACTATCTGTGAGCCAAGCAAGAAGCAAACCAACATTTCCAAAACTGGTCCTTTTCTTTAGGTCCTCAGCAGTAAGTATAGGCATGCAAGAACCAGGGGCCTAGGAGAAATAGTAGACAGTAGATGAAAATACCAAGTTCCTGCCTCCGCCAGTAACCCTGGAGCATCTCAAAAGCTTCTTGCAAGTTTTCACATCTTCAAAGTTACAGAAGTGTCCAAAGTCCATTATTTAAAAGGATTTTCTTCTTGATTTAAAATAGGTTGGTTTCCCTTCCTATTTGATTCTTAGTAATGTAACCTTGTAAGAGCACGATCTCATTTATTTCACTGTTTGTTAGCTAACAAGGTTTCAGGGTTTATTTGCAATATTCAAAGTACCACACTTAAAAGGAAACAATGTTAACTGTCAGGTGAGGGAACAATTTATTCTTCCAAATCTGATAATGTAAGTTTCAATCTAATTCTCATTTTGTATTGTACTCCTTCAGAATGAGTTCAATTAAATTACTTTTCAGTAGTTGGAAAACAAATCAAAAAATTTAGAAATTAAAAGAAATTTCTTCATTTATTCCTCTTATGGGGGGTACTGGCTTTGAGCAGAATGAATATTTGGTCTGCATCGCTGACTACTCTGATTACTTGGATATCACTAAATCGGGCTCCAAGAGCAGGATTAGAAACTGCAAGGCTTCCTTTAGCAATAACACTTTACATTCTTGAACAAGTTAGTAATGCACACCGCAGTTAAACAGGGAACTGAATAGTGAAATTTATTTCTGATGTTTACCAGAACCAGGCTGGTTTACCTCTCTTTGGTGGTCTAACAAGGTACGTGACATCATTGATGATCAGTTTGAAGTCATCCAGCAGAAGCAAGTCTATGCCTGTGGAAGAGGCGACACGCGTGCCATCTGTAAGGCAAACACAGATGACTCATTAAACAGTACAAAGTACCAGAACGTGCTGTGGCTAAACAAGTTGTAATGCCATCCTAAATCCAGTTGTTGGACTTGCGCGTATCCTCCCAGACAATTCTCTTTGTTAAGATGGATATATACTTTGGGAGACCTTACAGGGCAAATACTAGCTGAGCTACGCATGCAGCTGCTTTTCTAAAGTTGTGATGTTTTGGGTCATCTTATAAAAAGCAGTTCACTTCATTCTACACATTTTGAATATTTTACTATGTTTTGTGATACAATCCACTTAAGTGACCTGCACCTCTCCCCACTAGCATTAGAAATTATTATTTCAGTCTTGGGTATTGGACAGCTTTGACATCACAAACCCAGCAAACACCTCCCTCTCAGGCCAAGGCTTTTAAGGAAATATCTGCTTTGACAGCACTTTCCTAAGACATCCTCACGGTGTTTCAGAGCTTTGGTGGCTAGCAGATACATAGTAATTGAGCAAAACATAGCAAAATATGACATTAAGTGAAATATGACTGAGTTTTCATAGCTAAGCAAGATACTATTTCCCTTGCACTACCTTTTATACCCAATTCCTTACAAATCAATTAGAACCTCTACATAGGTTGCATAGCTTCTATCTTTCCAACTAAATAGTAGGAAACTCACCAAAACCAGACATTAGTCTTAATGGAGCTAGGCTAAGCATTAGGACCGTTGTTCTCCTCCTGCACTCTAGAGTCAGGTTTTCTTGGCAGACCTGACTACACAGGGACAGCTAACTAAATATTCTTACTCTAGGAATGGCATTTTTACCTTCTACTTTTTCAGGAATGTGCAAGAACTCACCCCAAAACAAGCTTTTACTTAAAAAGCAAAAGGCTGGATGAAAATAGCTGGCAAGCAAGTAAATCAATTAGTTTATAAACAACAGTACCTGCTGAGTAAATTGCAACCCGATCAATTCCTCGGTCCTCTGCTTGCAGCTGTTGTAGGAACACACCAACGGAGTCTGAGATAGGCTTAAGCGTGAACTGGCAACGTTCACGCCGGGATGGAAGATTCACAGAAATCACAGGTAACCCGTTTTGGTAAACCACTGTCACTTCTACAAAGACAACAAAAATACAAATTTAGCATTAAAAATTAATGGATCTTCTCATAACAGTTCTGTATTTGTCCCATGGAAGAAAAAGCAAACATGGTTAGGAGCTGAACATGAAAGAGACTTTAAATTTTTGCTTCATCTTTTATCAAGAGATGCGTCTCCATCAAAGAAAAACTGAGGGACGTCAGAAGTTTTCACTCCCATTAACTCAGCAGCATCTGTTAAGCTTCCTGTGCTTTGGGGAAAAGTAGAAGATAGTTACTCTAAGCACAATCACATTTATATTAAAGATAACATGATATCTGAAAGCCACGACATGGCAGCACAAGTATGTTCTGATTAGTTTTAGAGAACCTAAGGACTATGGAAGACAAAACACTGCAATTTATGAGGATTTATAGCCCAGAAGACAAAGGCAGACTGTGTATATTAGGAAATGTCAAGGAAGGACCTACTTCAAAAACCTTTTCATTCTTGTTTAGTTCTGGTTTTCTCATCTTTGCCCTAAGGCAACAACAAATATTTAAGAGAATATGCGGTTGTAGGAGCAGCACTCCAAGTTTAAGCTTCAAGGTCATTTCATCTAAAATTCATGGGATCAATTCACTTTGTACTTCAGAAGATAGACATTACTACTTTGGTGTAGATAAAACATTCTCCACCTCTCTAGTGCTGTTAAGAGCTTTTTCAAGAGCATTCTTAAGGATTTCAGTGCACCTTTCTAAAATTTATGGTAGTGACCTGTATGAACTGTAAGCTAGTTATTTTACTGCCAGAAAAAAAAAAAGCCCACTGTGTGCTTCAGGATATCCAAACGTAGAAAAATAAGAAGTTCATATTCCCTAAGCTCTCTACTGAGTCACAAACAGTCGAAATTTTCCCCCAGTGCAGTAGTTGCTAAGATATAGCAGCACATCTAAAAATGATTCACTTTAGATTGCTCCGTATTTTTCTTATGTAAAAACACAAGGTCTTTTTTATTGCACGGAGCATTTGCCACGTCTCAAGGACTGTGCAGTCACACCCACCCACGCTACATCTGGCTTAGGATTCCCACCTGTGGTAGCTTTGGCCAACCACACCATCTCCTTAAACTCATCTAACTCACATATTGACACACCAAGTCAATTTAAGCTGACAGCATCAAAACTAGTTGGTCAAAGAAATCAACGCAGGTAGAAATAGAAGCAAATATGTCATTTTAACTACCGACCGACACCATTTCTCAGCATGCCACTGTTCAGGAAGTTTTGCCACCAACGACCTTTGTGCCTCCCCTTTCCGTGATTTGCTGCCAGATGATGAACTCATCTATCACGGATGCGTTTGCATATTAAGACAAGTCTTGGGGTGAGGTGCCTTTCCAAAAAGGGCAGCTCACAGAAGTTGAGAAAGGATGCACCAAAGTACACTTTTACAAAGCTGGATGAGTTACAGAATCACAGAATCGCAAGGGTTGGAAGGGACCTCGGGAGATCATCTAGTCCAAGCCCCCTGCTAAAGCAGGCTCTCCTAGAGCATTCTACACAGGACTTCATCCAGGCGGGCTTTGAATATCTCCAGAGAAGGAGACTCCACAACCCCCCTGGGCAGCCTGGGCCAGTGCTCTGTCACCCTTAGAGTAAAGAAGTTTTTCCTCATATTCAACTGAAACCTCTTATGTTTCAGTTTGCATCCATTGCCCCTAGTCCTGTCGCTGGACACCACTGCAAACAGACTGCTTCCATCCTCATGACTTCCGCCCTTAAGATATTTGTACGTGTTGATGAGGTCCCCTCTCAGTCTTCTCTTCTTCAGGCTGACGGAGGAGAGGGGGAGGAGAACCTCCCTCGCCCTGCTGGCCACGCTCCTTTTCATGCACCCCAGGATGCCATTGGCCTTCTTGGCAACAAGGGCACCCTGCTGGCTCATGGTCAGCTTGTCGTCTACCAGGACTCCCAGGTCCCTCTCAGCAGAGCTGCTTTCCAGCAGGTCAGCCCCCAGCCTGTACTGGTGCATGGGGTTTGACCTCCCCAGGTGCAGCACTCGACACTTGCCCTTGTTGAACTTCATCAGGTTCCTCTCTGCCCAGCTCTCCAGTCTGTCCAGGTCCCGCTGAATGGCAGCGCAGCCTTCCAGTATATCAGCCACTCCTCCCAGTTTTGTGTTGTCAGCAAACTTGCTGATGGTACACTCCGTCCCCTCGTCCAGGTCATTGATGAACAAGTTGAACAAGAATGGGCCAAGTACCGAGCCCTGGGGAACTCCACTAGCTACCGGCATCCAACTGGATGCTGCCCCGCAGAGTTCTCTTGGGCTTTTGAGTTGACCATCATGTGCCTTCATGAATCCAAATCAAGCATTCAAAGGCTTTTTGCCTCTTCCAGGGGACTGTTATGCAGTGCTGACAAAGAGGTTCTCACATTGTCTTTAAAGACTAGGTGGAAGTCACCAGGTATGGACATCTAAAATGACCAAAGCATCTTAAGAGGCCCCAGTATTTGGAAGTCTATAAATGCTTTTCCTCAAGACTCAGACACCTGAGAGGATTTTAGTAGCTTTAGCGTTTTGAAGATTAAAACTCAGAGACAACAGTCAGATACTCACTGAAAAAAATAAAGCAAACCACCAATTTATTTGAACAGTTCGACAGAATTTCAAGCTCCTTAGCAGCAGCTGTTATGACACCAGCTATCAGATTTTTGCATTCTTTCACTCAAGTATTTGAGCAAGAGACTGGTAAGAAATAGATCAGCATTAGCGACACTTGCAATAGCAGGCTCAGGAGGAATGATCAACACGTTTAGAAGCTTAAAATAGCGACTTAAGTATTAAATTCATTGGTCCTGCAAGCAGTGTATACAACATTAACTTATGTACTGCTTACATAACCACAAGACATGAAAAACATTCTTTATTTAAAATACTACCTTGATTATACAGGCAGCGAGCCAGTTCATTGTAGAGCAGAACAGATAATAACGTCTGCACCAACACTCTTCCTGCATATCCCAGTTGGTACAACACAACAACCACAGCTCAGTAAGTCTGGAATTACAGCTGGTTTAGGTTTTCCTTGCAAAAAGCTTGTAAAAGTAATTTTCTAGCCTAATTCACTGGCGGGGGAAGTCCGTAATTCCAGTTTGATCCTCTCATCACCTCCCACACAAGTGATGTCTGGTCAGATTTTTACTGCATTGGAGAGAGAGGAGCTCAGAGGCAAATAAAAAAAAGAAAAAATCCGAAGGACGTGTCAATAACACAAACCTAACAGACAGCAACAGACAGCTCCAGTAAAAGTTATTAACGAGGCACTGCGATGCGGTTGTCTGCCTTGCTCTCCTCTGCTCTGACAGCCCTGCGGACTGCCTGCATGAGGGCAACTACAAGTTACCAAGCGGACAGAGCATTTTGGCATTTCACTAATTATAGAGTTAACATTTTGGCTAATCTTCACTGATTAAATTTTAAGCCAGTATTTAAATACATGGGACAAGTATAAGAAAGTACTGTATACAAGTGTCTTGCAGTTACATTTACAGACACCTACAACCTGGCCAGGGATGCTGCTAAATAAGACCATGGAGGATTTTAAAAGCTTCACATGCTACATGAAGCGTGAGCTTGCTTTGAGGTATGAATTCTATCCAAGCACCACAAAGTTTTGACTCAACCATATGTGCACCAGTTAACAGGTCATTCATATTTTTTAAAGATTTCTGTTCTTGCATAAGAACAGCTTAAGCAATACATTAGGTCAAAACAAGGTATGGTAAGAAAAAGGGTATGGCCAAAGAAAGCCAGCGTTGAACATCTACTACTGGTAAAGGTGAAGTTATTGGAAGAAATAACAAGAGAAATACCATGTACAATATGAGAAGAGGTAAAAAAAAAAAAGTTACGCAAGTAGCTACGCACTTACGTTATCCTCTCAACCTTACTCCTGTCCTCTACACTTCTACCTGTTATAGCCTTCAGATTTTAATTTTGAGTTCTCCACAGCAGTCACGTTCTCTTTGTGTTTGCACACACTCACTATCCTGGCAGGGTAATTGTGCCGGAACCCTTTACTTTATTAGCTTTCAGGCTTTATTAACATGCCTTAATGGGGAGGGGATCCAGTAACCACTTGTGTCAGTCAGCGTAAGTGCTCTAGGCTTTGTGCACAGCATGTGGATGTTAAGCAGGCAGTGGTCTCCAAGCCATTTGTTTCCTCTTTGCATTCTGGCATACTGAGATTTTTTTTTTTAAGTTCCACCTGTGCATTCTTTTGCATTACATTATGACGATGTTATCAGAAAAGCTTACTGTCTGACCTGTCCCAGAATTTAAATGAAGGAACAAAATCGCCTTGGCTTCACAACTTATTCACTGCAGCAAACGGTGCTTTCAGCAAGTAGCTGGTAGGAACTGCGTGTTCACGACACAAATAAAGTTAACAGGGCACATGGTAGCCTGAAAAGGTAGGCATCAGACAGACCTTGTAGCTACAGCAAGAAAGAGGCTGGCAAGAAAATATTTGGATGGTTGCACGCAATTGTATCTTTCTTTATAAAGCCTGCCTGGTTTTGTAAGGACAGTTATTAGAAAAGTGGTAGAAAAATGGACAATTTCCTTAATTCTTCTTGACTGACATTGCTCGCTGTCCCTCCCTTAGTTCAAAACTGGATTCCCTCCTAGCCAAAAACCCCTCAAACAGAAAAGGTGGTCAGGGAAAGTGATTTAAGTCCGTGAAGTCAGAAGTGAGCCCCGAGCTTCTCCTTGTCAATACTCACCATCAGAGGGCACTACCGTACTGCAGTAGACCACTCTCACACTCTGCCAAGGAGAAAGCCTCTGATGCACCTGGAAAACACAAGCACAGCAAAAAGGACAAATGTTCAGTGCCTCTCGTCTGGCAGAATCACACCCCAGTGCCACCTCCTGTCCCCCCCTCCTCTGCCATCACCCACCCCGGTGGCTGGGCTAGGGGTGGCCCAGGGGCAGCAGCCACAAAGCAGGGGCATCAAGAGCAGCCTCTTCTCTGCCCATCTGCCACCCAGCAGGGCCTCCCCCCTGGGCCAAGCTCACCTCGCCACACCTTCAAGTGAGGATACATAACACAACAGCTGTGATTTTTCTTCCTTCCTTAATGTAAAAAATGTTATTTTTAAAGCCACGTTGAGTTAATCGGTTTTAAGAAATCGATTCCAATTACTACAAAGACGTGGAAAGGAGAAAAAAAAAAAAAAATCACACAACAGCATCCGCCTTTAAAGGTTAAAAAATGAAGTATTAGCCTAGCACTGGGGAAGGGTTAGGGAGCTGTGGATTAAGAGGTTCATTCTCTTAGGCTGCTTTCTGTGCCATCGCGTATTTTTTTCTCGTCCTTACAGAGAGGAGCCAAACTCTAAGATACAAGTAGTAAACATGCCTGTTCACAGAAGAACAAATTGTTCAACATAAAACCCCAAAATTGTGATACTAAGCTATTAAAAAAAAAAAAGCCCAGTAAGAAGAAAGCGCATGCATGGTTCGTATGTTCTGCAACCTTGGCAAGGGACTAATTTGTTCATGAAAATATAGAATCAGGCTGATTTCAAGTCTGTCTTCTAGGATGAGTTATACTAGTTACATACTAGCCCTTCCCCAACGCTGAAATTACAACTCTGGCAGAGAAGAGCCCAATTTTAAAAAAAAGAATAAGGCACGACACCAGCTCCCATCTGTCTACGATGGTATATATTTCAGTGCTT